AAAAATAGGCAAAGGACTTGAATAGACATTTCTTTAAAGAATATATACAAACGGCACATAAATATACACAATGAAAGCACATGAAAGGAATCTCAGCATCATTAGTCATTAGAAAAATGTAAATCAAAGCCACAATGGGATACCACTTCATACTCATTAGGATGGCTACTATGAAAAAATAAAAAGAACAACAAAATAACAAGTGTTGGTAAGGATATAGGAAATTGGAGCCCTCATCATTGCTGGTAGGAAAGTTAAAACTGGTACAGCTACTGTAGAAAAAGTTTGGTGATTCCTCAAAAAGTTGAACATGGGGTTACTATATGATTCAGCATTCCATCCCTAGATAGATACCTGAAAGAACTGAAAGCAGGGGCTCAATCAGATATTCATATACCAATGTTCATCACAGCATTATTCACAAGAGCCAAACGTGGAAACAACCCAAATGTCCATCGACGGATGAATGGATAAACAAAATCATACAGATGACCCCTAACTTATGATGGTTCAATTTAAGATTTTTTGACTTTACAATGGTGCAAAAGTGATATGCCTTCAGCAGAAACCATACACTGAATTTTGAATTTTGATCTTTTCCTGGGCTAGCGACATGTTACAGTACTCTCTGGAGACACTGGGCAGCAGGAAGCAGCTGCAGCTCTCAGGCAGCCACGCAATCGCAGGAGTAAGCAACTGATACGTGTACAACCATTCAGTATCAGACAACCTTTCTGCTTTTCACTTTCAGTACAGTAGTCAAAAAATTACATGATTTTGCCCAACTGTAGGCTAATGTAAGTGTTCTGAGCATGTTCAATGTAGGTTAGGCTGAGCTATGATGTTTGGTAGGTTAAGTATATTAAATACACTTTTGACTTAACAGTGTTTTCAACTTAGGATGGGTTTATGGTTTATCAAGATGTAACCCCATCATAAGGAGAGGAAGATCTATACAATGGAATATTATTCAGCCATAAAAAGGAATGTAATTCTGAGATGTGCTACAACATGGATGAATCTTTAAAACATTATGCTAAGCAAAATAAGCCAGAACAAATATTGTATGAATCCACTTATATGAAGTATCTAGAATAGGCACTTCAGAGAGACAGAAAGTAGAATAGAAGTTACCAGGGGTTGGGGGAGATAGGGAGTTATTGTTTAATGGGTACAGAGTTTCTGTTTGGGATTGAAAAAGCTCTGGAAATAGATAGTGATGGTAGTTATACATCATTGTGAATGTCCTTAGTGCCACCGAATTGTAAACTAAAAATGGTTAAAATGGTAAATTTTATGTTATGTAAATTTTATCACAATAAATAAAAACAAGCCCCCCCATATTTATTCCAGCATGATTTTAATAGAAATTGGAAATAACCTAGATATTTGTTGACAGAGGATTGGGCTAACATTGTGACATGCCTGCATGGATTTCTTAATAGTCTTGCTTTCACCTCTGCCCCTTTACAGAGCAGCCAAAATGATTCTATTAAAACATCAGCGTTAAATGAGAAGAGTAGGTTAGTGAACTAAATGCATAGTATGACGCCATTTATGGGGCGGCGGGGGAAATCTATATAAGCATAAAAGAAATCTGAGAGGAGATATATCATACTTTTAACAGAGGTTATCTCCAGGTGGTAGAAAGACAAAGTGCATGCATGCGAGTGTGTGTGTGTGTGTGTGTGTGTGTGTGTGTGTGTTGTGTGTACTTTGTTCTATGTAGCAACAGCCTTAGTACCAGTTCTGTTTCTTGGTATTTATCTTACTGAAATAATCCAAAATGTATATATCACATTATTGTTCATAATAGCAAAAAAATTGAAAATAGCCTGTGTTGACAATAGGATATGTCAGATAAATTTTGAAATATTCCTAAACAATGAGCTAGACTTTTAAAAGTCCAGAAGTCAACAAATAGTGGCCTGCAGAATAAGTCCAGCTGTTGTCTTTTTTTTTTTATAAATAAAGTTTTACTGAAATATGGCCATGACCATTTATTTACATATGGTCTATGGCTACTTTCCTGCTCCCATGGCTCAACTGTACTGTTGTGACAGAGACCAAATTGCTGGCAAACCTAAAATATTTACTATTTAGCCCTTTTTGGAAAAAGTTGCTGAATCCTTGGGCTAGAATATAGTAATTAAAAATGATTTGTGGGAGAAAAACATGGAAAATGTTAACGATACATATACATAATATACATATCCATGGTTATAAATTAAACTATTTATAAAGATTAAAGATACCATAGATATATGTGTAAAACGGCTGGAAGGATACGTACAGAAATTTTATAAATTACTTCTGGGTGGAAAAAAACAAAAAGGTGATTATTATTTCCTCTTTTACAGTTTCTTGCATTTCAAATTTTCTACAAAAACTATGTATTGCTATTTTTTGAATCAGAATAAAAAATCAACTTTCAAATATCTGGTTTGCTTTCCTAAAGGAAAGAGTAGGTCATCTTTCAAAGTCTTTCCTAAAACGTGATTCTTTGTGAGACTTGGAAATGAGTCTTCATTATTAGGCAAATGGCCAAGCATGCTTACCGCCACCAGGAAGTAAATACCCTATGCTTTGCTGAGGCAAACAGGTTATACTTTACCTTGTAAATGCACTTTATTTTTTCAGATTGTATTGACTTAAGTATGTTATTAATGAGGGTCCAAGTTCAAGGTCCTGACAATCTACTTAAGAAGGTGAATCTTAGGGACTGGAGGTATTTTAGAATCCTTGTGTTAAGCTCCCTCATTTTACTATGAAGAAAAAGTCGGAAAGGTTAACAACTTGTCCCTGTTAGATCTGGGCAGACTCCCATTTCGTTTCCATGCTGAGTTCTGCAAAATAAATGGAAGTAAATAAGGGAGAAGAAAGGAACATGGATTCCACCAATGCTTCGGCTTACATAAAAATCAAAGTCAGGAGTCCGTAACCATTATGGCCAGGCTAATTAAAGTAAGTGTATGTTTATTTTTTTAGAGGAATGTTACTCTAACCATTTTCCCTTCTATCCCTCTTTATTTACATACTAAACTACTAGTCACTGTTGTTACAATAACAATATATCACCTAACTGTTACTGTGGGCATACATTTCACAATAGGTAGCTAAGTCTTCTTACTTCACCATGTCTTTTCCTTCTAAGATATTGGATTTTATTCTATTTTATTTATTTATTTATTATTTTATTTTTATTTATTTATTTTTTTGTGGTACGCAGGCCTCTCACTGCTGTGGCCTCTCCCGTTGCGGAGCACAGGCTCCGGACGCGCAGGCTCAGCGGCCATGCGTCACGGGCCCAGCCGCTCCGTGGCATGTGGGATCTTCCCGGACCGGCACACGAACCCGTGTCGCCTGCATCGGCAGGCGGACTCTCAACCACTGCGCCACCAGGGAAGTCCTTGGATTTTATTTTTTTAATTTGTTCTACTGAGGTAAAATTTACCTTGAGTGAAATGCACAGTTCAGTTTTGACAAATGCGTATGCTCAAGTAACTAACACCCCAATCAAGACATAAAACATTCCCACCACCTGGGAAAAATGTCTCATGTCCCTTCCCAGTCAATCTTGTCCTCTTTCCTGATTTATATCACCATGAGTTAGTTGTGCCTTTCTAGAACTTATAAATGCAGTTCTTCAGTATGTAGTCTTTTGGGTCTCGCTTCTTTACTCAGCATAATGTTTTTTTTGAGAATCATCATGCTGTGGGGTGTATGATAACTTATTCCTTTTCATTGCTGACCAGTCGTCTATTTTACAAATATATCACAGTTTCCTTCCTCCTCTTCTTTTGTTGAAGGACACCTGGATAGTTTCCAGTTTGGGCATTAAACAAAAAATTTCTTCTAATCCTGGAACCTCTTTGTCCAAATAAAAAGTTTTGAGAATTGGACTTTGTTACTTTGGAGATGCTGCCTTCCACCGATATGTGTCAGGGTCCTTCCTCCCTTCATCTCTTCTCCAGGAAAATCATAATACATTCAACTGGAGAAGAATGATATGGGTAATATTGAAGATGGGCAAGTTTATTTGTTCATCACACAAGTCCTAAAGGCTGAATATAGAAAACAAGTTAATATCTTGGCCAGTCTCACAATCTAATTTTGGAAAGGGCAGGTAAAGCTGCAAGGGGTGAAAAAGTGAGACAATACGGCCAACCCATAGAGTTAAAAGCATTGTCAGGGCCCAAAGGTAATTATTACAATTACAGCTTGTACTTATCGAGCCTGAGCTAAATGCCAGACATTGTGCTAATTACTCCATCCAGTCTTTATGCTTGATGTAGGCACATTTGTTATCCCAATTTCATGTAGGGTACGTGGACGCTCAGAGAGTACATAAGGAAGTACCTAACACTATATGTAGAAGACACTCAAAGGAGTATATATGAAGCAAATCATAGGAATTTAAAGGAAATGAAGGGGTTAATTTTTAAATGGCTAGTGGAGTTGTGCCACTAAATAAATAATTAGCATTTCAACTTTCTCTTCTCATTAGCATTTTGCAAACTCTTCTTAAGCCATAAGCCCTCTCTGTTCATGCTCACTGACTCTGGATGGATATACTGTGTAGCATTCACCTCCCAGGGAATTACCAGCCAGCTGGACAATTGTAGTTTTACAAACAGAGTAATTTAACACCTCTCTCTTTTAACACCACTCTTTTTTTAAAAAAATTTTTTATGTATTTTTTTTTTTGGCTGCGTTGGGTCTTCGTTGCTGCGTGTGGGCTTTCTCTAGTTGCGGCAAGCAGGGGCTACTCTGTTGCGGTGAGTGGGCTTATTGTGGTGGCTTCTTTTGTTGCGGAGCACGGGCTCTAGACCTGCGGGCTTCTGTAGTTGTGGCATGCGGGTTCAGTAGTTATGGCTTACAGGCTTAGTTGCTCTGCGGCATGTGGGATCTTCCTGGACCAGAGCTGGAACCCGCATTCCCTGTATTGGCAGGTGGATTCTTAACCGCTGCGCCACCAGGGAAGCCCAACACCACTCTTGATAACAAAATAATAGTACAGATATTTTGGATATCTGTACTATTTGTACTGTTACCAACAATTCTGTTGTCTGTACTGTTACTAACAATTCTGGCTGAAATCCATGTACAGCAAGAAGGATTCCAGTGAGAAAGCAAGTGGTTTAAAATTATCTTTGGGGATTCAATTTTAAAATGTTTTCCTTAATGCCCTTCTTGTCCTCCTTTCCCTCTCTCCCCAGCCCAAAGATCTTTTAGTATTCTCTTCCTTTACTGCTACTGATTATTATATTATTCATCTATTTAAAATAGGAAGGATGGAGCAGAAAGTATTCCGTTTTCTGGCAAAAAGCCCTGAATATCATTTGGGGAAATTCATCCCTAAGAAGCACTGAATGAGCTATGTGGTGTCATGTTTAAAATAGTTTATCCATAGTATGTATTATGAACAATGTAGCTTCCTCTATTAGTTTGCAAGGGCTGCCATAACAAAGCACTACAAACTTATTTCCTCACAGTTCTGGAGGCTAGAACTCTTAAGATCAAGGTGTTGGTAAGGCTGATCTCTTCTGAGGACTCTCTCCCTGTCTTGTAGATGGCCATCTTCTCCCTGTGTTTTCATGTTGGCTTCCCTGTGTCTGTCCATGTCCTAATCTCTTCTTCTTAAAAAGACACCAGTGATATTGGATTACAGTCCACTTATATGACCTCATTTTACTTTACCTGTTTAAAGACCCTATCTCCAAACAGTTTCATTCTGAGGTACTGGGGGTTAGGACTTCAACATATGAATTTTGGGGGAACACAACTCAGCCTATAATACTTCCTATCTGCATCACAGAGCTGTTAGCCTAAATAAGAGAATTACTTAGGAGAACAATGTGAATGTAATTATATCCTGTATAAGAGGGTGTCTGTTAAGGTCGTTAAATTAGTCACATGGTCAACTATTTTAAAATCATTTGTGAATTTAAGTTGCTTGTAAGGAAAGATGTTAGTGGCTACTATTTTGGAGAACAGGCTCTGAAGAGAATCAGATGATATATTGAAGATCATCTGTGCAAACAAGTGGTAAAATTTTTTAAATTCTCTAAATTGAAAAAAAATGAGAAAAGTAATCTAACAATGGTTACTTATAGAAGATAAGAGGTGTGTTTTTTGGGGAAGCTTAAAATAATTTATGAAGAGCATGGCAAAAATAGTATTAGAACAGAGTAAATGTGAAATAAAGAATAAAAAGGATCAGAAAATGGGAAACATTTGTTCATTATCATCAGTTACGTTGATTTATACGAGACTGGCCTTTTAGCAGACAGAAAATGGTCTAGTATCGACAATTCTGTGTCAACCTAACATAAAAGAAACCAGAGGATTTAGCCTGTAGAAGACAGAAAAGGGAAGTGACTACAAGCCATAATTACGGAAAATTAAAGGACTTTGTATTGAAAGCATTACACAATTCTCACTTAAAATCTCAACCTCAGCATAGTTATAGTGATATTGTGACCCACTCCTCACCCGATTGATTTCCTTTTTATATTATTAGCTACTTAAATCATCCAAGCAAATTTCTGGATTAGGTCTTCGGCTTTACCCAGGCCACACGCTGAAACGGACGCTGAACTTTCACTCTCCACATAAAAGGGATATTCCCGTGTATGGCAAGTTATAAGAGCTTTACTCCATCACCCCACCGACCCCACTATTCCCCACCCATCCTTTCTCCGGAGCGTTGGCCACCTACATCTACAAATTCTACACATTGCATTTCCATCATCCTGCTGTCAGTGGGTGGAGGAAAGGGTCATTTCTTCCTCCGAATCCCGATTTGGATAAAGCAGTACCCCTGTCTTTTTGCTACCAGGAGATAGGGCGGGGACCCCCCTCGCCCAGCTCAGGGTAGAAGCGCTGGTGTTGAGGCTGAGTCGTACGAGGGGTCTGTTGACCTGGCACGGTTTAAGCACTCAATTGACAAATAACACAAGAAATCCGGTAACCAATCAGAGCGTAAGGGTGTGGTGCGAGCATCTTTTTTTTCAGGGGCGGTCACAGCCAAGTCTGACCCAGCGAAGGGGCGCGACCCGGATAGGGCGGCCAACTTCCAGACAGCTTGCCCAGCCTGGTCCGCGGACCGCCACAGCCTGGTTGCGAGCGCGTCCCCGTTTCTTCTCGGGCGTCGCTGATTGGAGGGGCTGGGGAGGAAGCGGTGGGCGCAGCCAATCCGGAGCGGCCTCCGCCGCTCTCCTCCCCGCCCCCGGGCTTCCAGGGTAGTTGGCCTTGGGGCCGAGCACCGGTGTCTGCGTGTGCTCTCCTGAGGATAGCGGCAGGATCCCGGGGCTGAGGACTCCGGCGTACAGGCCATGGCTTCCGCCGGGCTGCCCCAGCCTCCCGCCGAGGACTCCCCCTGGCCTCTGCGCCTTCTGCACGCGCCCCCGGGGCTGCTGCGGCTGGACCCCACGGGCGGCGCGCTGCTGCTTCTCGTTCTCGCCGCGCTGCTGGGCTGGAGCTGGCTGTGGCGGCGCCCGAAGCGGGGCATCCCCCCCGGGCCCACGCCCTGGCCCGTGGTGGGCAACTTCGGCTTCGTGCTGCTGCCGCCTTTCCTCCGACGGAAGAGCTGGCCGTACCGGCGGGCAAGGACCGGAGAATTGAATACCTCGGGCCTGGGCGTGCAGTTGCTCCTGGCAGACCTGGCCCGTGTGTACGGCAACATCTACAGCTTCTTCATCGGCCACTACCTGGTGGTGGTCCTCAACGACTTCCACAGCGTGCGCGAGGCGCTGGTGCAGCAGGCCGAGGTCTTCAGCGACCGCCCGCGGATGCCGCTCAACTACATTCTGACCAAGGGGAAGGGTGAGCTGGGCCGCGGCCGCGGGAGCCTTGGGGGTCAGGGGTCACGGGCCGTGTGAGCGCGCGGATGGGGCTGCAGGTGCGCCGGAGCTGGGGGTTCTGTTTCCCCTGCGGCCGCGCGCACCCAACCTGCCTTACACCTGCACCCAGCGCGGGAGGGGGAGGGCGGCGCTGCCTCCCACTCCCGCTGCCTTTGAGATCCCCTGCAGCTGTGATAGGTTCCATCTTTCCAGGAGTATTCGCTCAGGTTCCATCTTTCCAGGAGTATTCGCTCCTTCCCAGAATAAGGCCTCACTCTTCAGAATGTGTTCCCGACGAGAAACTTCGGCCGTGTTAGAAAGAGTGAGGGATATTTACACCTTTTGCGTTTTGGGTGCAAGAGTTTAAGATTATTTCCCCGTAAGACAGAAGTCCAGAAAACACGATAGGAACTAATTGGCAAACCTAGTGTACAATAGGTTTATAGTTTCTGTGATTCCTGCTTATGGAAGGCTAAGTTGGGCAGTTTTGAGCGTTGGTAAACATGTTATCCGCTGCAATAGAATATCACATTTGCCCTTTTTGTTTATCAGTGTTCCCCTTTGTCTTATTGGCCGGCACGGGTCCCAGACTGTGTTTCCGTCTGTGTCAATCCTACCCTTCGGTCAGGTGTTAATGTTTTTTTTTTTTTTACATCTTTATTGGAGTATAATTGCTTTACAGTGGTGTGTTAGTTTCTGCTTTATAACAAAGTGAATCAGTTATACATATGTTCCCAGATCTCTTCCCTCTTGCGTCTCCCCCCCTCCCACCCTCCGTATCCCACCCCTCTAGGTGGTCACAAAGCACGGAGCTGATCTCCCTGTGCTATGCGGCTGCTTCCCACTAGCTATCTATTTTACGTTTGGTAGTGTATATATGTCCATGCCACTCTCTCACTTTGTCACAGCTTACCCTTCCCCCTCCCCATATCCTCAAGTCCATTCTCTAGTAGGTCTGTGTCTTTATTCCCGTCTTACCCCTAGGTTCTTCATGACATTTTTTTTTCTTAAATTCCATATATAGGTGTTAGCATACGGTATTTGTCTTTCTCTTTCTGACTTACTTCGCTCTGTATGACAGACTCTAAATGTCTTTCCCTCAGGGAGTTTTTTTCCTCACTTCCGTTCCAGGTAAGTTAGTCTCCCTTGTTAGAACCAGTTTCATTGCACAAGTACTTTTCCTTCACTGCACTTATCAATATTGAGGCTTTGTAATTCTGTAACCTTGGCCTGAATGTGAGTCTTCACCACTAGACTGACATCTAGGAAGACAGAGTTATTCCTTGTCCTGCCTGGCACATATAGGAGTCAATAACTATTTATTAAGTAAATGAACTACTACTTCCTCTTCCTGGCATGTGGTATAAAGAGATCCAGGCTTTTCAGAATCTGATGAAGCCAGAATTTTGCATCAGGATTTTAAATGAATAGTAATGATGATCTTAATATTCTAAATGTCCCACTGAAAAATAAATCATACATGTCACAGTTCATACCTTACTCTCTCTGTGTCTTTACACATGCTGCTTCTTCTACCTGGAATTCTCTTCCGTTCTCATGGCTGCCTGGAGAACTCCCACCTCTGCTTTTCTTTTCCTCTCTCTTTTTAAAAAAATTGTGGTGAAATACAAATAACATAAAATTTACCATCTTAATCATTTTTAAGTGTAGAGTTTAGTGGCATTAAGTCATTCACATTGTTGTGAAACCATCACCACTATCTCCAGAACTCTTTTCATCTTGCAGAACTGAAAGTTTATACCCATTAAACAAACACTAAAAACCCATTAAACATTTAAAAACTCTCTAACCCCTGGCAACCACCATTCTGTTTTCCGTCTCTGTGAATTTGACTATCCTAGGTACTTTATACAAGTGGAATCATACAACATTTATCCTTTTGTGACTGACGTATTTCACTTAGTATAATGTTTTAAGGTTCATCCATATTGTGGCATGTGTGAGAATTGCTTTCCTTTTTAAGACTGAATGCTATTCCGTTGAATGTATGTACCATATTTTGTTTATCCATTCGTCCCCTGATGGATACTTGCATGCTTCCATCTTTAGACTATCGTGAAAAATGCTGCTGTGAACATGGTATGTCTACAAATATCTGTTGAAGTCCTTGCTTTCAGTTCTTATGGGTGTAAATCCAGAAGTGGAATTGCTTGATCATATTATATGTTTAATATTTTTGAGTAACTGCCATACCATTTTCCATAGCAGCTGCACCATTTTACATTCCTGCCAGCAGCAGCCAATGTTTCAGTTTCTCCACATCCTCACCAACACTTGTGTTGTATTTTTTCATACTGCTTAAATGTCACCTCTCTGAGAATGTGTTCTGTGACCTATTTCTCTATCCTCCCAGGTACAGGTGAGCTACTCTTTTCTCTGTGATACCACTGTTTTCGTTTAAACCCTCATCACATTCCCTACCAGTCAGTAAGTCTTGTCAGCCTGCTGCAGATATATCCATGTTCTGTATCCATTCACTTCTCTCCATCTCCATCTCATCCAAGCTACCATCGTTTTTCATTTCTTACTCCAGAAGCCTCTTAACTAGCCTGCTTGCTTCTGCTCTGATCTTTTATCCATACAGCAGCCAAAGGGATTTCTTTTAAAAAAAAAAAAAAAATGTGAATCAGAACAAATCATGTCGCTTCCCCCACTGAAACCAGTTGTTTCCGACTCCATACTAGACCTACTGTGCCCCAAAGGATCTGGCCTCTGCCTGCCTTTCTCACTTTATCTCTTTCCACTCTCGCTTTATTGTACATTTCAAGTACAGTGTCTGCTCTGGACACACTAAGCTGATTCCTGGAAGGTTGGTGACTGCCTCAGGCTACTGGGTTTTGTCGTCCTTAGGTCTGGGATAACTTAAAAGATTTTTTTTTTAATATTTATTTATTTGGTTGCACTGGGTCTTAGTTGCGGCAGGCGGGCTCCTTAGTTGTGGCACACATGTGGGATCTAGTTCCCCGACCAGGGATCGAACCCAGGCCCCCTGCATTGGGAGCTCGGAGTCCTATCCACTGCGCCACCGGGGAAGTCCGCTGGGATAACTTTTTACTTGGTTTATTCCTTATCATCTCTCAGGCCAATTGTCACCTTTCACTACTATTTTAGACACTGCCCAATATCACAACTTATTTTATCTCATTTATATTTCACTAACCTCATTCATTAAAAACTTTGAAAGCATTTAGCCTACTACCAACCCCACTTACCATTGGAATGTGAACTCTGTGAGGGCAAGGATCTGGCTCATCTTGTTAACCACTGTATGCCTTCTAATCGGCACAGAGCAGGTAATCAAGAAATGAACGAATGCATGCATACATCTGTTGATACATACATACATCTAACATCTGTTAATGCACTTACCACATTATATTGTCACTTTTGTTGCTCATCTCTCTTTTCCTCCTGATTTTTAAAGGTGGGAATTAGATTTTCTTCTTCGAGGTCCTTCTTGGTGGGTGTATAGTTTGGTTAAGAATCTATAAGGCAGTTTCTAAGTATTAATTGGATCACAGTTTATTATTGGATCCCTCCTTATTTTGTAAAGTCCTGGGAGCCTGGGGTAATTTGGTGCTTCAGCATCTCAACGAAAGCATTAATTCCTCCAAGAGACAGTTAGGACTTTTTAGGTGATGCTGCTCTTGTATTCTGGTGGATATGTGTTGGGCGAATGTGCTGTGAGAAATTTATGTTGCTGGTGAAAGTGATTGACAGGAGAAGGTAAAGCAAGAACCATATGTCACAAGGAAAATGCTTGTCGATTTAACTTGGAATAAAGAACAGGCCATCTGAATAGGAAAATGTAGATAGTCAAGGAATCGTTTCAAGGGTGAAAAATAAAAGGGGAGAATGTGAGTTTATTTCAAGATGCCCATCGAAGGATGAAGAAGCAGATGAGTTCTGGGTAGCCGTCATAGATCAAGAATTGGATGGCATAGTCATCCTGAAGAAGATAGGCCACGGGAGTGAAAGGCTGAGCGGCTCAGCTCAGCAAGATTTGAGGAGTGCCCGAGCCACCTTCAGTGCTGTTTCCAGTGGCAAGATTGTAAAATGCGGAAGTTGTCCAGAAGCAGGATGCATAGACTCTAAGAGAAAGAAAAGTGATTTTAAGAATTAGAGGCCAATAACGTTATTAAATGTTTATATTTATTTTTATTAGATACTTGTAAAAGAGTTTTGCTGCTAAAGTTGATGAGACTCGAAGACAAGGAATATTTCATGACCAGTGATGTGCTGGAAATAGTTCACTTAACACATTGCCATCAAGTTCTAGAATGTAGGGAGGTTATTTATTATATTTGAGTTTTTCAAATTATCATGCTTATACAAGTTGATATTCTTTTTAAGCATGAAAATTATAGTAAGGTAGATAGGCCAGAAAGATGTTCTACATTAGGTATGCCCATCATACTTATTCATCCATCTGATTCTATTCCTGAGCAGGAATAGTTAATAAAGTTACAAAGTCAGATTAAGAGGTACAAACTACTATGTATAAAATAAATGAGCTACAGGGGTATGTTGTACATCACAAGGAATATAGCCAATGTTTTATAATAACTTTAAATGGAGTATAATCTAAAAATTTTGAAACACTGTCTTATATGCCTGAAACTAATATAATATTGTAAATTAACTATACTTCAATAAAAAAAAACTTACAAAGTCAGAGCCAAGGCTACCAAAAGAGTACTTTAAGTGTGGTCTGTTTCTTCTCCAAGGTTTATGCACATCACATTTTTATTATTAAATATTTCAAATATAAAGTGCAGAGAGTAATATAAACTCATTCATCACTGTTCACATTTGCTTCAGATTCATAAACAGTGCATAACTTTATTTGGTATGTTTTTTAAAACCTTACATATGTCATATATTTATAAAGTATCTTTCTACCTCTAGCTTTTGTAATTTATCTATTTCCCTGTTGATAGAAATTAGATTACTTCTAATTTT